TAAAATCGCTCTCCAGGCCATCGCTCAAGTAGAACTCAAATGGTAAAGGATGAGTTGGGCTTAGATCCAAGTGTGACATGGGTGAGATCTTGTGAGGAAGGGATGAGAACTCATGGGTGGAAATGTGCAGCTGAAGCCTTATGTTCCATTCGAAACCTGGGGATATAATAATTATCACTCGGTGTTATAATTTAACTTCTACCGAATGCTACTGCTAAACGTTTGTCTCGATATTTTATTTAATGGCTGCAGTTAAACAACGCTGGTGATTCCCTAGTTGCTTTTCAAATGTAACAGAAAAAAACATCTTCAGAATGTTCACTCTCCATCCCCACAACCCAATGAAATACACCCAACTGAAATTGTTGAACTATGCGGTGAATGAATTAGATTCATATGAGACCTTTCATTGATTAGTAATCTAGTTCCGTTGATAACTGACACTAATTAGTTAGTAATAACAGATTACAAGCATCAAAATTCCTCCTGAAAGGTCATACGAAAATAATTTCACTATTGATTGACTCACACTATATAATTAGAGACATTTGATAAAAATCAATTGGATTCTGACTAATTGGCTCTACCTCCTGGTTTTCACCAGCTCCCTAAATGATGTCAATTCGTTATTGAACTAATTTTGAAAATCAATTAGTCTATGTTTCATTCATGTTAGTGTTTCTCAGCAAGATGTTAAGTTGAAAGAGGTCATTGGATGGAGGATTTCATCATGAGCTGACATCAGTTAGAGAACGATTGGAAAACCAGTTGGAAGTACTGGACAGCTGTTTCTTCTTAGTCTAGGACTCCTCATTAGTACGCACTCACCGCCCGGGTTCGAACTAAGGACCTTCTGGTTACAAGGCGAGCTCGTATACCACTAAGTCACTGGGACCCGATCCAATGGCCAGTCCATGAATTCTAACTTCTACAAATTGACGACATAGCGCAACCCCTAACCAATGTCTTCGGCGAGTATTTGTCCTCACACCCGACCTGCTGCACCCTACTGGTCACGACTTCTCACTAGAACCCCGAGTAACGACCTACCTGAATAGGACAAGTTGCTAGTGAGCATCTCATAGATATTCAAGTGTTGGTTTGTAAGGATTTGACTGGTTGATGAAATCCTGAAATGGCAGAAGTTAGAATTCATGGACTGGCCATTGGATCGGGTCCCAGTGGCTTAATGGTCTATGAGCTAGCTCGCCTTGTAACCAGAAGGTCCTGGGTTCGAATCCCGGTGGGTGCGTACTGTGAAGAGTCCCAAACTAGGCAGACGAGACAGCTGTCCAGTACTCCCAGCTTGTTTTCCAATAGTTCTCTAACTAATGTCAGCTCATGATGAAATCCTGTAACCAATCAAATCCCTACAAACCAACACTTGAAAATTCTAACGACTTAGTTATGTGTGCGAATTGTGTCTCACGCGCAGTAGCGTTTAAACAACTAGGCAGTAGAATCTAAGATTAAATATACAACAAGTGAGTTTCACTAAGAAATCATTGAAAATCTACATGCTAACCGATTAACATTCATTTGATATAACTTCATAACTTTGTCATATGACATTATTAGCTAAATAGATTAAAGTATGTTGTAAGATAATGTTTACAGAAAGCCGGTGAATGGACGTCAGATTTCGAAATGTTAATCGGTGGAATCCACATCTCTACAAGAAACTTACTAAAGACTTATTTATTACTTTTGCTAAAATATATTTGCTTTTTCATGCAGTGGATTAACTTTGACAAGTAATTATATGAGGAAATGTCATTACCACATGCTTTTTTCGAATAAATGACAGACAGAGGAGTCAAACAATCTTATGATTTCCAGTTGAGGTTTCTAAACCGAATACATCAAAATCATTTCAACCGACATACAACCAGGATTTCCAACTTAAAGCTGCTTGTTTGATAATGCCTAGCAGTGGAATCCAGGATATGTACTTCGTGTTATTCATGACTCATTGTAGAGGGGGAGGGAATAAAAATCCAACAGGTTCTTCCATGTAGTGTCAGTTGGGAAGTTAAAGAAATCAACAAAATCACTGTAGGATAACTTAAGTTCGCTAATTAAGAAATACAAAAGTGTGTCGATACAATTTCTCACTTTCATAAATTTGAATAAAGCAAGAACCATAAATTCAGCTGAATTGGAAGGTTCCTGCTTTGTGTAAAGAAAAAATGAATGGACTATTAATAGCTTAACTTCTTATTACATGTCATCCATGCAGTCAGACACACCAAATAAAAAAGAACAAACAAAAACAGGCCGCGTGTAACCAGCCTCAAGCAGTTGTCCCCTGAACTCTGCGGTCACGCAACCAACTTCCACGGTGTGGGCAGCCGGGAAGTAACAATCGCCCTCATAATCCGAAATGCACGCGAAACCTCTAATCCCTCACTCATCTTTGTCTTCATCTTCATCTCTATTATCTTGCCTTTCTTCTACTAATGCAACTCCTCTACTTGGTGGCTCTTCACTTCCTCTTCACTCTGTGTGCACTGAAAACGACGGAAGTCAGCATATTCGAGTAGCTACCGTCACATTACTTATTCGGGCAGCATATGTCTAGAACCTGAAAGACTAAAATGTCATTGACACAAACTCATGAAAAATTATAGTTTTTCTAGTGAAATGACTTCGATACCCACGATTTTTCAGTGTGCCTCGTTGGCACAGTAGTGGAATGCTCTGCAGCCATGAAGGTGCTCCGGGGTTCAATCCCCAACCACCGACGCACTCCTTTACCTCGCTAAGCCAGTAATAAAACTGGTAAAGAGGGAAGGTTGAGCGTGAAGCTGGCACCCCTCTTCCTTAAAAATCGACACCACTGCTACCGAAACTTCAAGCCTCTAGCTTGAACCCCACATTGTACCATTGGGAACGCAAATGAATAAAAAAATGAAATGATTAACATAAGGAATTTTACCGCTGAAGAGTCCCAAAATAGAACAAAACAGCTACCCAGTGCTCCTTGGTTTTCAATGATCTCACTAACTGATGTTGGTTTGTGACGAAATCTAATAATTATAATTATAAACTGATCAGAATCCCATAGTCTAAATATCAACATCCAATTCATTGATGGCTACTAGACGCATTCCCATGAAGTTGCAGTAAGAGGTTTTGATCAATAGAGTCTACTATACCAATGCAAAGTGGATGCTTATGGAAGACATCAGTGAGGGTAGAGCTATATTACGAGTTGACGGAAATTAGAACTCAGAGATCACTGAGTTCCAGCCCGAGTGGCTGAATGGTCAGTTAGCCTGTGTCTTGTAACCTGAAGGTTGTGACTTTGATCTCTGGTGGGGTCATGAGTGAGCACTACTGAAGAGTCCAAGAATAAGACGAAACAGCTATCCAGTGCTCCCGCACTAGTTTTCAATGATCTCTCTAATTGATGCCGGTTCATAACCAAAATCTAACAGCTGAACTAAAATTAACAGGATATAATACACGCCAAAAAAAGTAGAATTAAATTGGTTTGTTTAGTAGTTAGACGTTGCTATAATTAGCAGAAGAACCATTTCAACCAACAAGACTTTTACTTTTTGTGTGAACCAATAAAATTTCATTTTAAACAAGCTAATAGCTCATTCACAAATTAAGTCAATCTGTCAATCACCACCACATTTAGTAATTTATAACTCACATCGTAACGTACATAAATATAATTCTGAGTTATTAGATCGATGGTGACTAATACGGGGATTTTATAAGTGCGCGTCGTCCTATTTTAGACTCATCAGTTGGATGTACCTTCACCCCCGTCAATGATGGTGTACCGCCCACTAAAATTCAAACCTGGCGTATGCGTATCATCAATTCCACTGTTAGTGATCACCGATTTTATATAAAGCCACATTAACCGGTGAAGTTAAACTTTAAGCACTGAAGAAGTGCGATTCACCAAACACTTAAAAATGTTATTTTTACGTGTAAAGTGCACATATTTATGAAAATAATGAATAAAATGACATGAAACTGTAACACAGGATAGCATTCTCTTATGTGTTACAAAAATGCCCCTCAGTTTTTCACTATGTAATTAGACCACATTTTATACATGTATTCATTTGAGTCTTCGAATCCTAACCTTAACCCTAACGTGAAACTATCCCTAAACTACCCCTTATCCATCTCGTATAGACCTTAATATCTCGCATATTAGATTAACCTATCCTTATTTCAAAATTTCACTAAATCTTTCCCACACCTAATCTAAAATTTACCAGATATCTCGTTTACTACCATAACCCTTCACTAAGCATATATTATTCATGAGTATAGCGTTTATTTTCTTGATTTCCTTAACTTGCTGACTAAGTGTTTCAAGGCCGTTGGTGAGTGCTACTCCTTCAGTGCTCAAAGTTTAATTTGACACATATTAACCTTCAAACACCATGTCAACTCATGATGAAATCCTCCATCCAATCAAACAAAAATCCCTACAAAAACCAATACTTGAAAATTAGTCTGATGCTCACTAGCGACTGGCCCTATTCAGGCAGTTAATCTGGAGTTCTGGTGGGAAGCCGTGACCAGCAGGCTGCAGCAGTTTGAATGTGAGGCAGTAGCTCATCGAAGAAGACATTCAAAAATGGTTGCGCTATGTAGTGAATAGGCTGAAGTTGGAATTCATGGGCTGGCCATTGGGTTAGGTCCCAATGGCTTAATGGTCTACGAACTCACCTTGTAACCAGAAGGTGCTGGGTTCGAGCCCTGGTGGTGGGTGCGTACTGTGAAGAGTCCCAAACTAGGCTGACGAAACAGCTGTCCAGTACTCCCAGCTGGTTTTCCAATGGTTCTCTAACTGATGTCAGCTCATGATGAAATTCTCCATGCAACCATCGAAACGCTAAAATGTCAGCAGGGAAAGAGTATTTCGATCGAATGTAAGTGTAATCAATCGATGGAAAACACACTAATTGGAGATTGTTTAACTAAAACTGATAAAATCATGACACAAGTCATTGGTTTGTTTGTTTGTTTATTTTTCTGAATTTTTATTTAATTCTTCAATGAGATTAATAATAAAAAAAACAGTAAACATAAATATTTATAGTTAAAGCTTTATCAAATATTCACATTTACAGTAATTAGCAACCAAAGTAAACAAATAAAAAATCAAACAAATAATAATAACAGTTAATTTTGAAACATATACATTTGTGTGGAGGATAGTCCATAATGAACAATATTTATTAACATACAAAATAATGCTAAGAAAACATTAATTAATATAATATATACGATGGATGATACGATAATCTATTTTGCAAACGACTGATAATGACGTCATTATTGACAAAAACATCAAAGCGTCCTTCTTCATTGTCCTTAAAGTCAATCTGTCAGTTCCCGTCTTTTTATAATCTCAACACACTCAACAGTAGTTGTCTTATCATCAGCATGATAGATTTATTTGTCAATAGAAGTCCACTAGAGCAGTAGTGGATTTACGCCTCCACAAAGATTGTCTGTCTTCAATCAATAACGACAACAACAACAACATTACATTGACTATGAGTAATCAATACTTGCATAGATTGAAATGTACACTGAAGTATATAGTAGTAAACAAACAATCAATAAAAGTAAAGCACCATTTTGAAGGATACATTAGTCAGGTGGCCTTAGTAATTAATTAATCAAGGATAAACAAGATATCCTTCTCAACTTCAAGTTATGTAGGAGTAAATATATGGCATAGAGTTTAACAGCACACACACAGACAAAAGAAATCAATACCAATGTTAATTATCAGTGATAGAAAGAAAACGCAATATGAACTTTACTTGTGTTCATTGTTACTCCAACTGATAATGATGATAATAATAATAATAATGATTATGATTATAATTATATTGGTAGATTAGTCCTATACAGGTTATTGATGAATGTGAAATGACTTGCACGTATAATTGTATAAGGAAGAAGAGAGAATTGAGATAAATAATCCCATCAGTTAATTTGTTTAGTGTTAGCATGATCACCTGTATTATTAATATTATTGGTTGAAACAGTTGATGAGGAGGCATTATGACGAAATGAAAATGAAAATATACTTGAACCAGCGACAAAATAAGCCACTTCCTTCCTTTGCGTATCAGACAAACCAACTTGACTATTATAAACTGAATATAATAAACGAATGGGCTTAGATGAAGGACGTGTAATCCGATATAGACTTGGCTTTTCTTGATCACTTGGCCAAGTGATATAAGACAATGTACCAGTTTCAGAATCAATTACCAATAGACGATCAGCATCGAATGCAGTTATTCTGCCTGGTTTAAGATCAGCAAAATCCCATGAATAAGTGTGTAACCAATCTCTGGCACTTTGTTTCACTTCACCATTAGGTTGACGTCCAGGGAAGGCTAGAAGACGTCTTGTCGGTTGATGATTGTTCTCTGTATTTTCTTTACCTTGTGAAAAACGCTGAACAGATGCCCAACAACAATGACCAGCTGTTTCTTGTGTTACATAATTTGGTTTATAGAATACAGATTCTTTACCCATTGTAATAGAGAATATTCGACGCTCAAAACCTGGAGTCAGTTTGCATATTTGTCCAGGTGAATCATTGTAATTGTTGTTGTTGTTGTTGCTATCAGGGGATCCAGATTCATTGATAGATGGACAAGCAAGCAATAACTGACCATCACTAGTATCCACTGATAAACCAGAATACCGTTGATATGGATAAACACGACTACGTGCAAGCAGCCGACCAGATGTATCAAATTTCGCCAATATCCAATTTTGTTTTTCTGTTACATTTTCAGATTTTTGTACAGTTCCAACAACATAAAGAACAGTATGATCAGGTTTAGTACTGTGACTGCATAATTCAACCGGGAAAATATTTCCTATCCCAGGGGTATGCAAATGTAGATAACCTTTGAAAATACTATTCCCACTAGATTTACTAAAATTGCTTTGACTTGTTGTATCATTTTTCTCAGAAGAAATAAGAAATACATATGGTAGACGCTCCAATCCAATGTAGATAGTATTGTGATCTGCTGCTAAACAAGTGATTTTCATCGATTCACCGACAGAATATTGATCTGACAGTTTGACATTGTCCATAATACTCTGGATTATCTTTTCACTTGAATAAAGTAATTTAATATCATATATATCATTGTCTTTAGTTAAGCTAAAATCCATTTTCAGTTCATTAGAGGATAATAATCCTGCATGATCTGCAGATTCATCACTGCCATCCAGTCTATTCTCTACAGGATTATTTCCAGGTATATACATACTAACGATATGATTTAATCGACTACGAAGAGATTTACTGAATGGTCTTCGTTTTACAGGATGTATTCCTTGTTCAACAACATCCAGATTCTCATCTCCTGTTATATCTGTAGCCACAAGACTTTCGTAGGCTGGAGGTTGAAGTTGCATCCTAGTAAGGTGGAATATAAGTCAAGCAACTGGGTAATTATGACCAATTTATGAATTCACTGAGTCAGAATACTTATGAAGACCAGAAACCAATCAGAAATATTGACATATTATTAACCAATCAGAATTAAACGTTAACTTCAGAAGTGAAATTCTATTGGTTAGTTTTTGAAGCACGTTGATACGGCCTGAGAGTTGAATTGATTCATACAAAAGCATAGTTATTCTACCATACTGCCCTGGTGCTTTAAAGTTAGCATAGGACTATGCAAAACTGGAAATCAAAGGCCTTAACAGAAAAGCTAGGTTAGACGTACAGCTTGATGTTATAAGGTCATATTGGCTGATGGTCATATGAAAAAAAAAAATAGAGAAACCACTCATTATAAAGCAAAAATGATAAAAATAAGTATTGTAGATAATAAGGAGCTGACTTCTGGTGAAATAAAAGTAATGGAAAAGCTAGACGGATTATCTTGGTATACATAATCAGAAGGATGCTTCTGCTAACTATTATTATTATTATTCCCTTAGGTTCCGAGTGCAATATAGGGCTTCAGCAGCACTTCATCCTGTTCTCTTCAGTACTCTTCAGCTGGCTGCGTGATTTTCCAAAGACTCATTTCTCCTCCTCACACTATCTCCTCCATGCCATCCTCCTATCTATGTCCAACTCTAAGTTTCCCATTCTGGTCCCACTCGAAAGTTTGGCACCTGATGTCACACAACAGTCCCCTTTGTGTTTGTCTTATTTATCTCCATTTTATTCCGCATGTTTGTTGAACAGCAAGTTTTTGTTTGGTTCTTTGCGTTGTCTGAGTTCCTCGCTGTTTATCCTTCCTGACCAGTTATCTCGCCTTCAGTATCGATCCACAGAAGGCAGCTGTTGATGAAAGTCTGCAGCAGCCTGTTCGAAATGCTTTTGGTGAAATGCCGAATCTCTGAATCATATAAAAGCGCTTATTATTATCATCCCCTTAGGTTCCAGATGGAACACAGTGCTTCAACAGCACATAATTTCATTCTGTTCTATGTATTCCTCTCTAGTTGGCGCCACGGTTGTCGATAATCCTCCATGCCATCCTCACCCCAGACTCGTATTGTTGTTTCTTATTTGGGTCATACTTGAAGGCTTTCCTGGCGCGCGATGTCACTCAGTGTTCTCCTCAGCATGTGTCCGATTCACCTCTATTTTCTTCTGCATCTTAGTTGAGAAATAGGCTCTTGATTAGTTCGTCTCTAGAGTTCTTTGTTACTTATCCTTTCTGGCCAGCAATCTGATCTCCAGTATAGAGCGATATGATTTGACATTTATGTTGAAAATCCGAATCATTTTTCTTAAGCCTAAATGCTTGTTGTTATAGATTTTCACACTGATTTCAGGTTCTGATTGCGTTGACTCGGAACTTGACTTCTTAATAGCCACGCTTGCAGAAAACGGTTACCTTAACCGAATTATTGACAGCAACATCAAAGATAATCAGTCGAAACTGGTCACCGACTCAGTTCCAAAGAAAACCTTATTTATGAATCTGGAATTCAAAGGTGATCAAGCTTCAGATATGCTCAAAAATCGTCTCTCCAAATCAGTCAGTAAAACGTTTTTCGCAGCAAAATTACATATGACGTTCACTAGCCGCAAGTTGTTCTCTACCTCTGCAAAAGATAAGCTCCCCTGTCTGGCCACCTCCATGTGCATCTATCAGTTCACCTGCTCTTGTAGAGCAAGGTACATTGGCCGTAGTCAGAGCACGCCTTCCACACGGATACGAGAACATATTCCAGCATGGTTTTACAAGGGAAAAAGGAAGTGTGTGCGAAGCTCTATTCTGAAACACCTGATCGACTTCTGTCACTCTGTCAACCCTGAACATGATTTTAAGATCATATCTAGAATCCATGATAACTTCCCGCGTTTTCTTCGTTACAGACTTCTAAAGACAGCTGAGGCCTTGGCAATTCATGACTTTAAGCCAGACCTTTGTGTACAAAAGAGAAGTATGTACAATCCTTACTTCTGCCTTGGCCGTAGAGGGAGAGACATTTATTTATTTTGTTTATGTAGTTATTCTATGTACTTTTCCCTTATTAATACGATTATTATTATCATTATTATTATTATTACTATCCTCACTTTGAATCTTTTTCACTTGACCCACTTGTCATTCTAAACCAAAAATTACTAATTTTTATATTTTTATTTTTACAATATTGAATTCTATCTTATCAAATTTCACACCATGTTATGTAACATTTTATATTCGTCTACTAATCCTATAATTATGTACCACTTTCCAAAATCTATACACCTTGTATATTATTCTATATATGACATTAATTATTTTGCCACTTGACATTAAACTATGATTATAATCACAAATATTTTAATTGCATTTCATTCTATTATTATTTCATGTATTTACACCTTTGACCTAATTCCCTCACCGGATATAATTTCTTAAAAACAATATATATATATATACGATTGTACGGCTTAATGAAGATCTGTCTTGCCCTTCCAACCGCGACTGGCTTTGACATCTTCATCCCTATCGCATGCAGTTGAAACTATGCCGCCTAGATAAATGAAGGAAGACAGCCCCCCCCCCCTTCAAATTTATTCCGTTGATATTGATTGGTTCTCGTTGTTGTTGGTTGTGGGCTATCTTCATCACCTCTGCCAGTCACGTTTACCATATCATGTAGTTTAAGATAAACTAATCAGACTACCGTTTACTATACCCTGTATATTAGCTTAAGATTTCAATATTCTAGTCTCTTTTCTCATTCCCCTGAATGTAATTGTTTGATTGCATGGAGGATTTCCCCATGAGCTGTCCAGTACTCCCAGGTTTTCCAGTGGTTCGCTAACTGATGTTAGCTCATGATAAAATCCTCCATGTAATCAAACAAAAATCCTTACAAAAACCAATACTTGAAAATTAATTTGATGCTCATTAGCGACCAGCCATATTCAGGCAGTGACCTCGGGTTCTAGTGGGACATCGTGACCAGTAGGGTGCAGTAGGTTGAAGATGAGGCAGCAAACTCATCGAAGAAGACATTGAGAAGCTGGTCGCGCTGTGTCATGAAATGGCAGAAATTAGAATTCATGGTCTGGCCATTGGGTTGGGTCCCGGTGGCTTAATGGTCTACCGTGGTGAGAGCTGGCTTCTAGCCAAATTGGTAGACAGTAATTTACGTAAATGTTTACATCCCCAATATTGGTCATGAGAAAAACAAGAACAAAGACTGGTTCAACAACCAATCACAGCAGACTTTGTGTAGGTGGTACAATCTGCAGATAGATAATCTGAACTTCAAGAAACAGCCACAAAGAGATGAAGGATTAACGTTCAGCGAGAAACCACCAGTTAGAACAGTGTGTTTGTTTGCTTACAATAATCTATAATAATGTACATGAAAAGCTATAAATATATGTGTTGATTTCCTAAATAAACGATCTGTTGCCTGGCACTTGTCTTTTGTTGTTACACTATGAACTCGCTGGCCTTTTAACCAGAAGGTCGTTGGTTCGAACCCTGGCGGTGGGTGCGTACTGCTGAGGAGTCCCAAACTAGGATAGAGGAAACTTCTGTCCAGTACTCCCAGCTTGTTTTCCAGTGGTCCTCTAATTGATGTCGGCTCATGATGAAATCCTCCATCCGATCAAACAAAATCCCTACAAATCCAATACTTGAAAATTAAAATTTTTGTCTAGGATATCAGAAGCGTTTGGTGAATTCAAGACCGATATCAGTACGGTTAGTCATCAGTTTTTTATTTTGCAGACTGAAGTCTGCTATACCTGATAGCTCAGTTAGTGGTGATAAGTAGTCTTTGCAGCTCAATGTACACTTGATTGGTAAAACCTTCCGTTTTCAGTTTGTAGATCATCAAGAATAATGATAAACCGATTCTTAAACAAGGCTCCCTGAGATTTTGACTTTCAGATTGGCTGTGTGTATACAATTTCTCTAATGTAAGAGTGGAACTTAAGCCTTGTAGTAGAGTGTAATACCGTATGTAATCAGTTTATCTGATATATTACCCAGTGACAGAGTACTGATAACTGGATGGTGTTTCTAGCACAAATTACTACTCGTCTTCATATGAACATCTCTACACGACTTCTCTATTTGTGTGGCTCTATTTATATCCGGCACTGGTATTACGTCACTTCAACTACATATGTTAGATGTTAACTCAATGACAAAATATTGGGCTACTGATCTTTTTCACACTCCACCTAACTTTATCCCATCCATGCCTTTCACATAATTGTGTCAGCTTTTTATCAAACATACTTATATTCTTAGCCAGATCAAGAATTCTAAATCCAAATGAATTCCTATACATTAATTAACAATCTAAATGACCCCTAATCGGCTGGTTTGACCTTTGTTTATCTGACCTCTTAGGCATTATACAGTATTTCGTTAATTAAATTATTTTGTCTATTACGTCATTGAAACAGTTAAGTAAACAAAGTTTGTGTCTGAGTTCTTGCCTTGATTTCAACACCCTTTTTGTTACTAGCCTTATTATTTTAAGAATTATATGTCGAATTTCTGGATAGATTAGTGTCTATTTCTTCTCAAGAGTTGATTTGTAAAGATTTGATTTGTTTTTTCGAGCCTGAACACAGATTGATAACATTTAGAGAAACATCTAAAATCAAGGAAAACTGGATAGCCGTCTCATCCCAGTTAGGGACTCTTCATCAGCACGCACCCACTGCGGTTCAAACCCAGGAGCTTCCGGTTACAAGGCAAGCTCGTATATCATTCAACTACTGCGACCCGATTAAATGGCCCATGAATTCTAACTTCTACCAATTCTTGATTTTCGCGCGATCACCAACCAGTTTCTTCTCTAATCTGTAAACTATGATTGACTCATTTGTGTAATTATATGTGTGTACTATTCTTCTGATCAACGATGAATAGATAACACTGATGAGGATAGCGGTTAGGACGCTCGTCGACCATGCACATGGTCCGGGGTTCGATCCCCGGCCACCGACGCACTCCTTTACCTCGC